CAGCAATAACAATGACCACTACTAGCAACAACACCTACAACAGCAACAACCACAACACTACCACCAACAATGCAAACTAAATACTTTACCACCACCAACAACAACAACATTACCAACAACATCACTACCAACAACAACAACTAACAACACATATAACAACAGTACCACCACAATACTACCACCACCGAAAAACACCCATAACAATACCAACAAACACAACACTAGCAACAACAGCACCACTACTACCACTACCAACACCCACAACAACACTATCACTACCAACCACTACACTACCAACAATTCCAACAACTACTACTACTAACAACACCTTCAAAAACAACATTACCACCACAAAAACTATACTGCCACCACCGACAACAACAAAAACAACCACAACACTAGCAACAATAGCACCATTACTACCACTACCAATACCCACAGCAATAACAACAACAACAACACTATTGCTAACGACAACCCCAACACCACCATCAACACAACAACTACTACTACTAACAACACCTTCAAAAACAACATTACCACCACAGCAACTATACTGCCACCACCGACAAAAAAAAAACAACCACAACACTAGCAACAATAGCACCATTACTACTACTACCAATACCCACAGCAATAACAACATCAACAACACTATCGCTAACAACAACCCCAACACCACCACCAACAACAGCTACTACTACTAACAACACCTACAAAAACAACATTATAATGACAATACTACCACCACCAACAAAAACAACCACAACACTATCAACAACAACAGCACCACTACTACCACCACCACCACATCAAAAACAACCATGACACCAGCAACTAGAGCACCCCTACTACCACTACCAACATGTACAAAAGCAACATCTACAACAACACTACTACCACCAACAACTGCAACGCCATTACCAACACCCCAACACCAACACCCCCAACAACAATATAAATGTAGTAATTTATTAATTTTAATAATAATTTTTAAATGTAAGTTTAAATGATCTGTCTCTCATATTATAAAAATATAATATATATAATATAATATATATAGAAAATATAATATAAAAAAATACTGACATCCTTCTCTGTGATAAAAACGTGTTTCAAATATAAAGAGAATCAAACACCGTTAATAAAACCAACCTGTGGCCTAATTGAGCTTTTTCTGAGGCAGACAGGTGCACTTCTCCCTTTCTTTTCACACTGAGGTCAGCTTCCTTCAAAGCAAACAACCCGACACCTTTACCTGTTGCTTAGAGACGCTTGTTTTAAAGAGATGATCAGGTTCTGTGCAAATTGACTATATATAGTATTCATTTGGACTCATTTGGAGTTTTGTGCATGCATTCTAAATCGGTTCATGTTATACAAACATCAGCAGAAGAACACCACGATCTATATGCAGCAGAGTGAAAGATTAAAATCTGAAGAAGGTCAATACTGATTGTTATTATTGCTGAATTTCACTGAAAGGTTTCAGGTTTGCATTGCTGTAGTTACACAATACAATGTTCAATATACAATACAATAAAGCATGTTAGTTTCTGCTTAATATTATAATTATTTAATTGCTTAAATTTTGATTGATTGATTGATTGATTGATTGATTGATTGATTGATTGATTGAACGATTAATAAATGGATGAATGGTTTGTGAGATTGTTGATTGATTGATTGGTTGATTGATTGATGGATTGGTGGATTGTTGACTTAATTAATTAATTTGTTAATTGGTTAATTTGTTTGTTGATTGATTATGTGATTGTATTGTTGAGTAATTGGTTGGTTTGTTGGTTGCTTGGCTGCACTGCCGATTGATTAATGCTTGATTAATTAGATTGCTGAGTGATTGGTTGAATGGTTGATTGATTAGATTGCTGAGTGATTGGTTGAATGGTTGATTGATTAGATTGCTGAGTGATTCGTTGAATGGTTGATTGATTAGATTGCTGAGTGATTGGTTGAATGGTTGATTGATTAGATTGCTGAGTGATTGGTTGAATGGTTGATTGATTAGATTGCTGAGTGATTGGTTGAATGGTTGATTGATTAGATTGCTGAGTGATTGATTAATGCTTGATTGATTAGATTGCTGAGTGATTGGTTGAATGGTTGATTGATTAGATTGTTGAGTGATTGGTTGAATGGTTGATTGATTAGATTGTTGAGTGATTGGTTGAATGGTTGATTGATTAGATTGCTGAGTGATTGGTTGAATGGTTGTTTGGATTGTTTTTGATTAATTAATTAGTTGGATTGAATGATTGATTGGTTGGATTGTTGATTGATTGGTCAATAAGTTTCTTGATTGATTTGATTTATTGATTGATAAATTGATTGATTGATTGATTGATTGCTTGAGTAGGTGATTGATTAAATGGTTGGTTGGATTGTTGATTGATTAATAAGTTGGTTGGATTGTTTATTGATTGATTGGTTGGCTGGATTGCTGATTGATTGATTGATTGTTTGATTAGATTGCTGATTGGGTGACTGCTAGAGTAAGTGATTGATTAAATAGTTTTTGGTAATTAGATTGATTGATTGACTGATTGATTGACTGGATTGTCGATTGGTTGGATAGTTGATTGGCTGGATTGCTGATAATTATTGTTTTTTGATTGATTAGATTACTGATTTATTTAATGGTTGGTTAAATTGTTTCTTGATAAAATTGTTGATTGATTGGTTGGTTGTTGATTTGCTAATTTGATTGATTGACTGATCAATTAATCAATTCATTTGTTGATTTGTTGATCGATTCATTGATTGATGGGTTAATTCATTGATTACAACATCAGCAGAATTGGCTATGTTCAATGCAAAATTAACAATAATTATTCAATACATAACAATAGTTTTTTTTTTTTTAATAACAATCAATAAGCAAAAAACCTACAGATGACAACACTAATAAAAGGTCAAATAAGATCTTATCTCTGAATTAAGTCAGTGAAAAATATTTAAAATATATAAAATTATTCCAGGAGACATTTTTTTTTCATCTCTACTGTCATTAAAAATACATTGTGGGAAGAAATATTGTGTTTTTAATTCGCATTTACGCATATCATGCTGTGAAGCAAACAAATGAGGATGAAATATAAAATGCTATAAAAGGCTACATAAAATAAATAAATAAATAAATAAATAAATATATATATATATATATATATATATATATATATATATATATATATATATATATATATATATATATATATATATACACATATATATATATATATATATATATATATATATATATATATATATATATATATATATATATATATATATATATATATATATATATATATATATATATATATATATGCAACACATTAAAAGCCAAAATGATACAAAAACAACATGAAAAAAGTCCATAATGAAGCACAAAGATTATTCAGTTTTAGGCTCTCGGCTGACCTGTGTGCAGTTATTATGTGTTGGCTAAATTCAGTATATATAAGCGTCGCTCCACATGCACAGGCTCTGTAAATGAAGTCAGATTGAAAACAGAGGGAAATAGCTCATATTGATCTAAAACTCCCACAAACCAACAAGTCGATCTGCTGAAACATCCATTAGAGATTCTGTCTGACTGAGCGATGAAATAAAGACAAACACACCGTCTGGATGCAAACAATGAGATTAGGTTTTGACTACGACCCAAAAGGATATTTGTTGTTGGATAATGTAACCAACAGTGAGAAATTGTTCGGTGATATCTGTGTATTCGACTATATGTCTAGATTCCATGCATCTAGTGCTGTGAATGTGTTTAAGCAGAACAACTTATCAGTTGGGTGGCATGGTGGCTCAGCGGTTAGCACTGTGGCCTCACAGCAAGAAGGTTGCTGGTTCGAGTCCCAGCTGAGTCAGTTAGTGTTTCTGTGAGGAGTTTGCATGTTCTCGCCATGTTGGTGTGGGTTTCCTCCGGGTGCTCTGGTTTCCCCCACAGTCCAAACACATGCGCTATAGGGGGATTGGATGGGTAACTAAAGTACTGGGTTGTGGTTGGAAGGGCATCCACTAACATATGCTGGAATAGTTGGTGGTTCATTCCGCTGTGGCGACCCCTGATAAAGGCCACTAAGCCAAAGGAAAATGAATGAAGTGACATCAATGGCTTGATCATGTGTCAGTGTTTTCACAGCATGACGCATAAGAAATAAATCTGCTCTAAATCTCAGTATGATCATATGAACACCATCACAATATCATGATTAGCAGTCAGAGAAAATCAGCTTTTCTCATTTGTGTTTTGTCTAATGAGTTGAGAAGCGCTGAATTATATGTTAAAAATGGTGTTGGTTATAATTAAGTTTTAATTAGGGCTGTAGAATATGGAGAAATGATGTGTTATAAAGCTGCTGGAGAAGCCAGTGATGATATGTGCAGTAAAGCTGAGATTAACACGTCTGATCAATTTCAATTATTTTCAAGTAGATTTAAAGCCGGGAAATAATGACAAATCCAATATTGCTTTTAAGTGGGTCGAGAAAACGTCTCTCCGAGTGAACAACAAATCTTCATCTGGAGAGACTTTCTGTGAAAAGGGAGTTTAGAGCGAGTGAACAAAACATAAGGAGCAGGCAAAAAATAAATAAACTATTTGAAAAATCTGTAAAGGAAGTGGGGCGACGCGGTGGCGCAGTGGGTAGCACGTTCACTACTCATTTTTTCCTATACTTGTGTTTTTAGTCATGATGAAGCATAACAGCACATTTCCATCGGCACATTGCAAGCGAAAAAATACTTTAGTAATTCACAGTAAATACAGCAATGTTTTGAAGAATACTATAGGAAAGTACTTGAGATAATTTGTTGTGGTGATTCATCAGTTGCTATCGTAACACAACAACTATAGTAATTGAAATGGGGTGGCGATTCTACAGTTTCTATAGTAACACAACAACTATAGTATCTGATCGGTTGTGGCGATTCTACAGTTGCCATGGTAACACAACTATAGTAATTTAAATGTTGTGGTGATTCTACAGTTTCTATGGTAACACAACAACTAGAGTAACTGATCATTCCTCTGGATTCTTAAGATGCTAATGTAACACGACAACAGTAATTGATTCATTCTAGTGATTCTACAGTTGCTATGGTAATGCAACAATCAAAGTAATTGATCTGTTGTGACGATTCTGCAGTTGCTATGGGAGCACAATAACAGTAATTGATCTGCAGTGTTGATTCTACAGTTGCTATGGTAACACAACAACAGTAATTGATTCTTTTAGTGATTCTAAAGTTGCTTCGGTAGCACAACAACAATAGTAACCAATCTGTTGTGGTGATTCTACAGTTGCCATGGCA